TGCCAGCTCGGCCCGGACACCTTTGCAGGCGGCCGGGGCGGGGCTGCCGGGGGTTACTCACTGCTCCTTCCTTGTTTGCACAACAGGGACGGCGGGGGAAGAAGGGAACTCAGCGAGGCCCCTCCCCGGGTGCGGAGCCCTCCCGCCCTCAGCACCCCTTAGCAGCCAGGCGCTAGCCACAGAGGGGCCGCTTCCTTGGTCCTCAGGCAGCTCCCTTGGATCCAGGAAGGAAAGGAATTGCCCTTTTCCTGCTCCGCCTCCTGCCTGGGCCACAAAGGCAGGGCCAAGGCCCATCCTTCAAGGGCTGGAGTCATTTAGGTAACAGACCTCGGGCCCGGGGCTCAGGCCACTGCACGGACCCAGGGAACGGGCTGACAGTCCAGTGGAGGCCTCAGCGAGGCGGCGGCGCTGCGCATAAACCTGAGGACCTAGGCGGGTGAGGGGTTTGCAGGTCCAGACGCCTGAGGGGAAGCATGCCAGGCTGCCCAGTGCCCCCCAAGGAGGTCAGCGAGGTTACTGGAGAGAGGCCCAGGAGGAGCAGGCTTGGGCAGCAGGGGTCGGGTTCCGGACCCTCTGTGCGTGAGTCCACATTGGCTCTGCAGGTCGGCATTTCGAGCCACCTGGCATGGCGTTCCAAGCCTGTGACGGGGCAGTGCAGGGGTCTGACTGGCAGGCACCCAGGTCCTGAGGGCTTCATGGTTGAGTCCTGGCCTAAAGCCAGGGGTCCTTACAGACCCCTGTGCCCTGCACCCTTGAGGGAACTGCTGCCAGCAGCCCCTGGCTTGGGAGGGCACACGGCTGTGGGATGCAGGGTCTCCTGCAAGGGCTCCACCCACCCCTGCCCCAGGCCTCCTGCTCAGCTTCCAGCAGCCTGGGGTCGTGGAGTCTTTGGGGGACCCGCTCTCTGGCAGCCCCCACCTGGGAGATCAGCTTTCTCATCCCAGAGGCCAGGTTATTTCTGGGCGGGTTGGCACGCTTCCTGGGGGGCGGGGGGGGGCAGTAAATGTCAGGGGAAGGCCAGCCTATGGCGTTTGCCCACGGAGAGGCCAATGCTTGGTGACTGTGGCGTGTGCTCCAGGCAGGACAGCCCCAGGGTGGTCCTCAGAACACCAGGAGACCTGTACCTTGGCCCATCGCAGTGCTGGGGTTACCCTGGGAAATGGGTTGTTTGCGCCGTTATTTCGTGCCCCTTCCCCGTACTCCGCCTCCTGTGGAATCCCCTGCCCCAAGCCATGTGGGCAGACAGCTGGCTCCAAGTCAGCCCCTGGACACCAGGCTGGAGTGGGAACTCCTGGAGCCATTTCAGCATGGCTGGCACCCCAGGCTGGGTGAGGACAGACGATGGTGCCAGGCTGTGGTCTGGGGGCTTGTCCAAATGCCTCATCTTGACACAGAAAATGGCCCTCCCCACGTGAGCTTCACGTGGAAGCCACAAGCACCTCAGGTCTCAGAACATGCTGTGCCCTCCTGGCCAGTGAGTCCTGGCACTGCCCCAACCCTCTGCCAGCCCTCCTTGACTCTAGTTCAGGGGCGCCGAGTCTCCTGAGGGTGGCCCCCGTCCCCTGCCTCCCCGCGAGCCCTGGTCTGTCTCCTGAGGACCCTGGCAAGCTTCAGATGCTGGGTTTGCCTGCGTCCCCCGCCCCAACTGGTGCAGCCAAGGAGACTCAGAGGCCCTGGTGCCTCTTTGTGTTTTGGAGGGGGAGCCTGGGGTTCGCGAAATCCGGCTGTTCTCTCTCTTGTATATTTCCTTCCTTGGCCTTGCATGGCCTGTTTATTTTAAAAAGTGCCAACCTGCAACCCCAAACAAGCTGGGGCCCTGAGGCCGTCAACCCCTCCAGTCTCCCCCATGACCCGCAGTCTGCATCCTTTCCCAGTTTCATTCCTCAAGTGCATGTATTTTTAATATCTTGTAGTTACCCTGCTGTATACTGTCATCTTAGGAAACTTTTAAACTTAATACCAGTATGAGCAGGACCTACTCTGCTGCTTAGTTGACCCCAGACAGCATGTCCTGAAGTGGTGTGTCCTGGGGAGGTGCGACAGTGCTCCTCTGTCCTGTCCCAGGCACTGTGGTGGGGGCATCCGGTGTCCAGATGCAGAAGCAAAAGCTGCTCCCGGGTTTCCCAGAAATGGTCCCGAGGCCTTGGCCCCAGGGAAGCCAGTACAGGTTGGTGAGTGGACCTCTGGCCCTGTGGCGGAGGTCTGTTCTGCTCCAGTGGACCGCATCTGCCTCATCATCATCCAGCCAGCCACAGCTGGCTCCTGGGTCCCCTCGTCAAGCGGCATTTCCCAGTAACAGTGACTTCGTGGAACACTTACGAAGCCCTTACAAACCATCCTCGGACCTCTAAGGCAGGGACTCCAGGAGGCACAGCACCTGTGGTGGGGATGGTCAGGCAGGCTGGATGTGGGGAGGGTTCGGAAGGAGTGAGGAGCCACGCGCGGAACCCCTCAGACTCTCCCAGCAAAGGTCCTTGCCCTTGTGCGGGTCCTGCCTCTAGTTACGTGTTTGCCTTAGAGGCAAAGTTGGGCCGTCACGGAGGACCCACCAGGATGGGGTCTGTGGACACACTTGCAGGAGGAACCCAAGGAAAGGGGGCGGGGGTGGAGCCCCACAGATTGCGTGGAGCTTGCACAGCAGGCCTGCTGCTGCCTCCCAGGGCGCTGGTTCACAGCAGTCTGGAGAAGCTGAGCCGGCTGGACCAGACCACCCAAGGTCTCAGGTTGCAGCTCCCTGGTAAGGAGAGGACAAGGTGACTTCTGGGTGGGGTGGGGCATGAAGATGGAAGTCTGGCCTCGGGTTCCAACTTGACTCAAACGAGCTGAGCTCCTGGAGTTTACAAAAGGGACACCAGCTTCAGACATCGTGGGGGCTGGCGTGGTTTGCTCTGGTGGGCTGGATGGGAGCCTCCCCAACCCCTCCCCTCCCCAGGAGGCTCCAGACCCTCCTGATTTTAGGCTGCAGCCTGTGGGTCACTCCAGGCACAGGTGGGGTGAGTCTCTTCTCACTGGAGGAGTTGCTGAACAAAAGGGCTGGTGGGAGGCAAGGGGGCATCCAGGGATAAGGGGCCAGCTGTGCCCCCCCTTCCCCACCCCACCCACTCTAATACGGCAGCCCCTGTGCTTCCAACTGCCTGCTCCAGCCTGATGCCCAGCCCCTCACTGCCAGCGACTGCCCGCCGCCTCTTGTGCAAGCTCCTGGCGGGCTCCACTGAAGCCAAAGTGGGCCCTTGGGGGCAGGAGAGCCAGAGCAAGGCACGCTCCATCTAGATTTAGACAGGGAGAGACCTGGCGGACGCCACCCCTGAGGCCCCGGGGCGAGCTCAGTGCTGGGGACCGGAGGTGCAGGCTGTTGCCAGAATCATGGTGTGTGGCCCTGCCCAGCACGGGTCAGCCAGAGTGAGCCAGGACAGAAATGACGGCCAGGCCCATGTTCCTGCCGGGGGCTGCTCCTCCCAGGAGGTAATCTGAGTCCTGGCCGAGCCCAAAAAAGCCACTGCCCTTTAGAGCCAGCTGTGTAAGTGCAGGAAGCAGTGCAGAGGGAGTGGGACCCCCAGCTGCTAGCCTCCCTCCACATCCTCCTGCCTCCACCAAGCACCAGGTCAGGGGGCCACAAGTGCGGGCGCTGGGCAGCTGCCCCTCAGCCGAGCTGCGGGGCCATCCAGCCCAGGCGTGTGTGCCACCCAGCTCGTGTTGCTCCCCGACGGACTGCAGCTGGGATGGTCACCCGGGCAGCCTGAGTCAGCCTGCGTTCTCTCTCAGGTGAGGCGGAACCGACCCTCTCGGCCATGGGAGGGGCCGTGGTGGACGAGGGCCCCACAGGCGTCAAGGCCCCCGACGGTGGCTGGGGCTGGGCCGTGCTCTTCGGCTGCTTCGTCATCACCGGCTTCTCCTACGCCTTCCCCAAGGCCGTCAGCGTCTTCTTCAAGGAGCTCATGCGGGAGTTTGGGATCGGCTACAGTGACACAGCCTGGATCTCCTCCATCCTGCTGGCCATGCTCTACGGGACAGGTGAGGGCGGCCTCACACCGGGCCCCCGTCCGGGGCTCTGCTGGCAGATCCTGCCAGGCGCAGGAGCCCGCGTGTGGCCAGGCTCGGCAACAGGGCCTTCTGCCCGCTCCCCAGGAACCCTGGAGGGAAGCCCTTGGGGCCGGGATCCTGCTGGGCAGCAACATGTTCTCCACAGGGCCAACCCAGGCAGGGTGCGAAGTCCATCCTGGCCCCTGTCCAAACGGGTCGGCTGTATTTATAGACAGTCCCAGAGGACAGGGCTGCCCAGAGCCGTTCCTGAAAAGATGGCTGTTCCTGCGCTGCAGGGACCACGGAGCCCAGCAGGTGGCACTCGCCTGTCACTCTGCCCTGCGCTCTGGGACTGGCCCCCAGCGTGCCCCAGTGCCCCGCGGAGGGAGGGGTGGCGTGGGAAGGGGAGGCTGGCTGCAGACTGGGAGCTCGGTGGGCTGGCGGGGGCAGAGCTGGCTGCAGGCCCAGCCCCTCTCAGCTGCCGCCCTCCTCAGGCCCACTCTGCAGTGTGTGCGTGAACCGCTTTGGCTGCCGGCCCGTCATGCTTGTGGGGGGCCTCTTTGCGTCCCTGGGCATGGTGGCTGCGTCCTTTTGCCGGAGCATCATCCAGGTCTACCTCACCACTGGGGTCATCACTGGTGAGTGGGGCTGGCCGGTGGGCCGCAGGTGCTGGGAGGGGGGCGGGCCGTGCACTTCTGCTCCTGGGTCCAGGCCGCCTCTGGAGGACAGCAGGACGGGTGGCTGCGGGATGTCCCGGCCCCACCTCGTTGTCCCCCTCTCGCGTGTGTGGGTGGCAGGGGCTCTGCACACTGGGAGCCCGAGCCCGTGGGAACCTGGGGGTAGAGACGCGGGTCTTGGGCTTTGGGGGCAGCCTTGTGGGGGCTCTCACCACATTCCCTTTCCTCCAGGGTTGGGTTTGGCGCTCAACTTCCAGCCCTCGCTCATCATGCTGAACCGCTACTTCAGCAAGCGGCGCCCCATGGCCAACGGGCTGGCGGCAGCAGGCAGCCCCGTCTTCCTGTGTGCCCTGAGCCCGCTGGGGCAGCTGCTGCAGGACCGCTACGGCTGGCGGGGCGGCTTCCTCATCCTGGGCGGCCTGCTGCTCAACTGCTGCGTGTGCGCCGCACTCATGAGGCCCCTGGTGGCTGCGGCCCAGCCGGGCTCGGGGCCGCCACGATCCTCCCGGCGCCTGCTAGACCTGAGCGTCTTCCGGGACCGCGGCTTCGTGCTGTACGCGGTGGCCGCCTCGGTCATGGTGCTGGGGCTCTTCATCCCGCCCGTGTTCGTGGTGAGCTACGCCAAGGACCTGGGCGTGCCGGACACCAAGGCCGCCTTCCTGCTCACTGTCCTGGGCTTCATTGACATCTTCGCGCGGCCGGCTGCGGGCTTTGTGGCGGGGCTTGGGAAGGTGCGGCCCTACTCCGTCTACCTCTTCAGCTTCTCCATGTTCTTCAACGGCCTCGCGGACCTGGCGGGCTCCACGGCCGGCGACTACGGCGGCCTGGTGGTCTTCTGCATCTTCTTCGGCATCTCCTACGGCATGGTGGGGGCCCTGCAGTTCGAGGTGCTCATGGCCATCGTGGGCACCCACAAGTTCTCCAGCGCCATCGGCCTGGTGCTGCTGATGGAGGCGGTGGCCGTACTCATCGGGCCCCCATCAGGAGGTGAGCGCTGCGCCCCCAGGCAGTTCCCCACGTCTGCCCTTCCCATCAGATGCCCACTTTGCGAGGCAGGGATGCACACCCCTAGGCAGCTGTTGGCATTGTGGGACTCAGAGCTGAAGGGGGTGCACTGTGCTGAACCGACCCTGATTGTGCTGGGGCCAGTGGGTCTCCGTTAGGAGTGGGGGGCTCGGTCTGGCACAGTGCACCCCAGATAGACAAGGCAGCTAGGGGCTGGATCCGTGGGGTGGGCAGCTCCTCCAGGCTCTACATGGGCACCACGTGGCAGCTCCGGGCAACCCCACAGCCAGTTTTTGTATTTTGGGGCCTCCTTTTTGAAGGCTGACTGAGCTAACACGTGAGGGAAATTAGGTTTGACTGGAGCAGCCTTGCCCAGGCTCTGGCTGCCTGGCGAGGGGGTCCTGGGCTTGGGGAGGGCCAAGGTCTCACCCCCAGACTCGTGTCTTGGAGTCCGCGGTGGCCAGGACACAGAGCTGGTGCCGGACTCAGCAGGGATTCTGGGGCTGCCCACTGGAAGCCTCAGGGGAACTCGGTGGGGACCAGCCTGACTCCTGCCACCAACCAAAGCCCAAACTCTCCGCAAAGCCACTGCTATTTTTAGCCTCTTAAGTCTTCGTTCCCCTGGGGAGGAGGGAGAAGAGGCTGAGGAGGGAGGATGCCCCCAGCTGGAACACATGGAGGGAGAGGACACCTCCCAGCCCCACGAACTCAGAGGCAGACAGGGCGACCCGTGTGTGCTGAGACGCAGAGTCACAGGCTTGGGGGAGCTCTGGGCCCTGGGGGCAGCCCGCAGAAGCAGCTGGGACTAAAGGGGTCTTCCCACAGGTAAGCTCCTGGATGCGACCCACGTCTACAAGTACGTGTTCATCCTGGCGGGGGCCGAGGTGCTCACCTCCTCCCTGATTCTGCTGCTGGGCAACTTCTTCTGCATTAGGAAGAAGCCCAAGGAGCCACAGCCCGAGGTGGCGGCCGCGGAGGAGGAGAAGCTCCACAAACCTCCTGCAGACTCGGGGGTGGACTTGCGGGAGGTGGAGCATTTCCTGAAGGCTGAGCCTGAGAAAAACGGGGAGGTGATTCACACCCCGGAAACGAGTGTCTGAGTGGCTGGGCGGGGCCGGCAGGCACAGGGAGGAGGTACAGAAGCCGGCAACGCTTGCTATTTATTTTACAAACTGGACTGGCTCAGGCAGGGCCATGGCTGGGCTCCGGCTGCCGGCCCAGCGGATCGTCGCCTGATCAGTGTTTTGCGGGGGAAGGTGGCGGGGTGGGAACCATGTCATTCCAGAGTGGATCTGTGGTGAAACCAAGCCACAAGGTTACAAGGCATCCTCACCAGGGGCCCCGCCTGCTGGTCCCAAGCAGCCTGCGGCCACTGCTATGCTCAAGGACCTAGAAACCCGCACTGCAAGACAACGTGACTTTAATGGGAGGGTGGGCTGCGGACAGGCTGGCAGGGCAGGTGCTGCGTGGGGCCCTCTCCAGCCTGTCCTACCCTGGACTCTCACATGGGGCCTGTGCCCACCCTCTAGTGTCTTGGGGACAGCTCCTTCCACCCCTGGAAGGTGGAAATAAACCTGGATGTGGGTGGAGCGTCAGGACAATGGTTTCCTAGGACTGTGTGGTTTTGCCATGTGGCCTCTGTGTCCCAAATCTCACATCTGCTGGTAGCCTGGCTGTTCCTACAGTGGCTCTGTCCTCACCAGCTTTCCCTGCAGCAGCACAGCATTCGTGGCAGGGGCAGGCACTGCGTGGAGGGGGGTGTGGGGCGGGTGCCTGGAGGCCGCTTGTGCCAGGGTGGTCTCTGAAACGTTCCCTGGGAGCCCCTAAGTGGTGGTTATATGGGAGCTGAGGTGGAACAGGCCACTTGATTCACTGCTATGTTTAAGAAACAGGACTCTCCTGCCTTCCCTTCTTCGCCCCTCTGGCTGGCAGTGCGCACAGTGTGGCTGGTGCACTGTGCACAGTGTGGCTGGCAGTGCGCACAGTGTGGCCGGCAGTGCGCACAGTGTGGCTGGCAGTGTGCACAGTGTGGCTGGTGCCCAGGGCTGGTCTTTGTGCCCTGTCCTCCATCCAGCCCAGTCCAGCACTTGGGCTTGTCCTGGGCACCTAACACCCACCTGCCCTCGTGGCCAGCAGTGGCCTGCGTGGCTGGGAGCCCGGTCAGAGGCCGCCGGGGCCCTCAGTAGGTGCGTCGTGGGCGCTGGGGACGGCAGCGGGTGCCCTGGCGGGCTGCGTGCAGCCGGAGAGATGCCATGTCCCTGCTCCTCTGCAATGAAAAGCAAGCGAAAAGCGCACATCTCAGCTCCAGGTGCCCCCATCTGCCCCTTGCCTTGCCCCAGCTGGGCTGGAGCTCTCTCAGCCCAGGCTCCTGCCTGCAGCCGCAGGGCTGTGGAGGCCTCTAGCAGGGCTCAGGCTGGCGGGCAATGCCAGCAGCTGCAGGGATCAAGGTCCACCTCTGCACAGCCAGGCCCATGTGTCTCAACAGAGTCCACTAGCCCCACCCAGCAGCTGAAGGGAGAAGGACGAGGAGGTGGGAGCAGGCAAGGTGGTGGGAAGCAGGCAGCCTGGGCCTCAGAAGACACATGGCCTTCCCCGGCCGGCACCCCCACATCAGGGCCCCTGCTCAGACCCAGGGGTTGCTGCCTCTGGACCTGGCTGTGCCTGGTTCTGCTGGCCTCAGGAGTGACCTGGGCTTACAGAGGCACTGGCAGGGAGGTCATGGGCCGGGTGGGGGGTGCTCGCTCCTGGAACCCTCTGTTTCCAGGTATCTCAGGCCCTCACCCTCCCCTAGGCAGGAAGCAGGCCCCTCCAGCTCAACTGTCGCCCCTCATCTGCCCCACTCTGGTCCCCACACCCACAGCACACAGCAGAGGCCCAACACAAAGTGGCCAGGCAGTGCTGCTCCTAGACAGACACGCCTGAGGGGCCCTGCTCAGTGATTCAGGAGTGCTCCCGATGTGGGAAGGCGGCCATGCGTGGCTGGGGGCACGGGACGTCTGGGGGCTGGGGTCCCTGGGGAAGGCGGCCATGCGTGGCTGGGCGTACGGGACGACTGGGGGCTGGGGTCCCTGTGCCGCGGAGTGGGTGTTGAGTTCTACCACCCCCTCCTTCAGCTGGTGTCTTTATAGGTGAGAAGCCATGGGGCAGCGGGTCTGCTCTGACACAACAGGCAGGAGTGAAGGGAAGGGAAGCCCGGGACCTGCTGGAGGAAGCTGGGCGCAGAGATCTGGTGTGTGGGCTGCACAGAGCTAGCCCCCAACCCCGGTGACAGATTCTGGGGCCAAAAGTGGTTCAGGTCTACCATGTTGTGAAGATCCCCTGACCAGAGGCACATCCATCCAGAACCCACTGCTACGTGGGGCGGGGCGGGGCAGGGCGGGGGGCAGAGGGCACACAGACTTCTTCACACGATCCCACATCAGAGGGAGGAGGGAGGTGTTCACCTGGCCTGGGCTTTCCCAGAGAACAGCCCTGGAACAGATGTGTGCAGGGCCCGTGCTGGGGGAGGTGGTGGGGGAGGCGCAGGGAACCCAGAAAGGACCTGGTGGCTCCAGATGCTGCCATCCCTGGGCCTTCCAAGGGGTCTGTGGTGAAGCTCCCGGGAGGCGCTGCCCAGTACCTGGAAGGCCTGCTCTTCCCCTCTAAACCACGTCTGAGGACACAGACCCAGCCAGACTCAGGCACAGAGAACAAGCTCTCTAACCCTGTCCGCTCAGGCCCTCACAGGTGAGATGCAGAGCCGCCACCCAGCAGGCCCTGAGGACGTGCAGCCCCTGCTCCCTCTCAAGGCAGGGAACCCCAGGAGGGAGGCTGCGGGCCTGGGGAAGGTCAGGCAGGAACTGGAACTTGGGTCTTGCCATTTTCCGGTTGGGGCCGGTGAACAGGGCAGGGGCTGAGCCTCACCCACAGCCACAGTGAGGCCCCACACACCGTCTCGGTCTGGGGCAGCAAGAGGGAACCATGTGAGGCGGCCTGGAGACGGGAAAGGCCCTGGGAGACGGCAAAGTCTGCGGAGGAGGGGCTGGCAGAGCTCCAGGCCACAGGCCTCCCCAGGGTCAGGGCGGAGTGCGTCACAGGCAGAGTCGGCGGGACAGCCCCGGAGCCCCCTCAGCACACACCCACGTGGGGCTCAGAAAGCTACACCATTCTTAGTTCGAGCAACCTCCACGCAAGCGACCCGAAGTCTTTATGCTTTCACTACAAACCAAAACATCCTCATCTTAGGCAGTGTGACCCTGCTGGCGTGGCTGTGGCCAAGGACCAAAGGAGTGGCCTGGAGTGGAGAGTGTGGGGTGGAGGTAGGGGCGGGAGGGGAGTTGGAGGGGAGGCGGCCTAGCCTGGCTGAGCTCACCCACACACGAGCACAGGTCAGGAGTAGGTGCGGACCTCCCTGCTCCGGCAGCCCGACAGCCCCCGAAGGCCTTGGATAGGGGCCACTGCTGTGTGCTCCGAGGCGGGCAGAGAGGAACCGCATCCTTGTTCCTGTGCAGGGCCATCGGGGCAGCTCCTGGGCTTCAACAGCTCAAGTGACAGGGGAAGCCCTGAGCACTGCAGCCCTATGGCAGTGGGAATGGACACGCGCTCACCCCAGGCGGCTGGAGTGCCGCTGCCGGCGCCACCTCAGAGGGCAGGGGCTCTCCAGAACCATCACACAGAACATGAGTGGACTTCCGTGTGCACACCAGAGCCCAAGGGGGCAGCACGGCGAGGAGCAGTCGCCACCCCTCCCTGCCCGGCAGGAGGCCCAGGGCACAGCTCTCCTCCTGCTCTGCCAGCTCCCAGACACCCACAGACTGAGAAAGAACGAACAGTCGTCTCAAAAAAGTATTTTCACATAGTTCACCTCAATGCATCGAAAACTCTCCAGCTGATGAAATAAAGACCACATGGAAAGGGGAGGGAAGAAAGGTAGAAGTCATTATGAATTTATTATTTACACAATTGTTAAAGTACACAAATACAGTGGCGATACAAACGCACAGCTTGGAGACTGGCCGCCAGTGCACAGCTGACACAACGTCCTACCTACGTTTCCTGCACGGGGCGACGGGGACTAGATACTGGGCAAGGACTGTCACAAGCACACTCCGAAGACGCAACCCGGCAAGGCTCAGGCTGGAACCCGGGCACAGAGCTGCCTCGCACAAACGTTCTGGCGCTACATCAGGACCACGGGTATTTACAAAGCCAGCTTGCGCCACTTCAGGCCACAGCCGCAACGTCTCTCCGGGTCGGGGACGTCCACCTTCAGGAAGGCGTCCGGCAACAAAGAAAATCTCTAACTTGGCTCTGACCCACCCCGACCTCCCTCTGTACTTCGACACACAGCTCCCACCCGCTCAAGGCCCCACACTCCAAAATGCTTACACAGTAACCAGCCTAGGATTCAGAAAGCACCCATGGGCTCAGCCAGCCAGCCAGCCAGCCGGGAGGGTGAACGACTGTGTTCCAGGACGCCAGCCAGTTACGGTGTCCGGGCATCTCTGGGGAGGAGAGGGAAGAACCCAGGTGCACACCTTCAGGGTCCTAGAGTCCAAAGGGAACATTGTCCATCGTGATGGGGTCCAGGAGAAGTGCCCACGAACACAGACTGCACTGCGCATCGGGGGTGGGAGCACACGGCCACTGGCTACTGGCCAACTGCTGCGGAGTGAGAGGCGAGAAGGCATCCTGGGAACCTCAGGGCACAGCAGCGTGGAGCCTGGGGCAGCACCAGCTCACGGAGGCCGCCTGCCTTCTGGTGGGACTCGGCGCCACGCACGCTGCTTCACTTCTGACCAAGAGACACGCGCCCAACAGAAGGTCACACAGCGCAGACCCTACTTCCTGGGCGTGAAGGTTCTGGGTAAGGTTGGGAGAGTCACCTGCTCCTTGGCACCTCGGGGTGGGTCCTTCTGGCCTGCCGGCTTTTCTGAGCTAGTCTTGGCACCTGGCAAGGACAGCCCTGCTCCTGGTTTTGAGCACGGGCATTCACACAGATCGACTGCCAATCTGCCCAGGAGCACTGAGTGTTGAGAAAACGTACCGAGTGCAAAGGCAGCAAAGGCAACAAACACTGCAGTAACCACACACCTCTCGGTTCACAATCCTCTCCCAAGGGACCAGAAACACATCTTCCACCTTTAATCCTGGGACTCCCAATTGTCCTGCTAGGGTCTCAAAGCCTCTGCTTCCAGGTTCTCAGCTGCCTGCCCACCTCCTGGGGAAGAAGAGCACAGCGCTTTGCCTGGTAACACCCACCGCGCACCCCTGCTCCGCGGCAGCCTGCGGGTCCCTAACTGCTCTCCAAGGGCCTCAAGAGTGCCCGACAGCAGGCATTTCAATTACAGGAGGAGGGAAGGTGAGACGCCAAAATCAGGTTGAAGAGGTCCCACCACACACAGGCACGCACACACACCACAGACTTCTGCTGAGAAATCTCCTCTCCAAAGTGGACAACAAAACACTGCAAAACAAACACAACACACACCCTTGAGATCTGCCTGCACCCTCTCCCTGCCCGACTCCACCTCATACACAAACTCCAATCCAGCCTGTCTCAGAATTCCTTAGAGTCAACATTTTTTTGTAAAACCGCAAAAACAGACAAAAAAGAAACAATAAAAAGACAG